CATTATTTACAAGCTGATGCAAACATTAACAGATGGCAAAAACGGTTTAAACTATGGGAAAAGTTTTGATGCTGAGCTCAAAGTTACTGAGCTTTCAGACAGGAAATAGTGCTCTTTTTCAACTACAACACTAAAATTAAAAAGACCCTTTGCAACACAGGTAATGATGTCCACTACAATAAATCGCTTAACACCATAGCTCTTCCATCTGCAAGCCATCTTTTAGTGCATTAATTTTACACCGTTCTGGCCTACTGTGCAAGTACACTTAGTCCCGGTTACAAAAGTGAGGCACTTAATCATATGAGATACCATTCTACACATGCTTCGAAGCTACAATGAACGCGGATGCCGAGATGTCAGACAGTATTTCCTACGTTCCCCATATTGGGCCACCATTTGAACTACGGCAGAAAAAATAACTCACGTCAGGGGCAGAGACCTTCGACACACCTTGGGCGTCCCTGGGGTCTTCAACCGATCGGTTGGGCAGGTAGAAGCTGTTTCGCTGTCGTTTTGTAAGATGAGACGTAAGACATCTGAAAGAATTTACAAGACGTACTTAAATCATCGTAGTTGACTACTGATAAGGGAGGATAAAAAATTTTTGGACATCTGAACTCCAGACCATGTCGGGATGCGTGAGAATGGCGATTCATCTCAAAAGGCCAATCTCAGCCGCTTGCACCTGGGATCGAAGTTCTTCACTCATAGACCAAGAAGGTCGAACTGAATACACAGATGTTAAGCTTTAGTTGCAATGGTTAGGGCTAGTCCACACAGAACGCCATTGGCTGTTCTGATTCGCCAATTGACCTATTCTTCCCATTTTCAATCACCAGTAAACACGGCTTCCAAGGAACTTGAATTTCTCCACTGATTATCCGCAACAGTGGACAGGAGAACAAAGAACTAGACGTTTCGCTTTAGATACGTTTACAAGCAAACCGACCATATCGCACTGTGTTGGAAACCGTTCCAGAGAGCGCTGTAGATCAGTTTCAGAACAGCTAACAAAACAAGGTCGTCTGCAGGCAGCAACCTTATCATTCCGACACCTCTTACGTTGATACTCTCATCGCCCTGCCTGCGCTTGACTACAATATCCCCCCATAGCACAAACAGGAATGCGGACAAACGCAGCCTTGGCGAAGACCAGTGCCAACGTTGAAACACTTGGACTTAGCGCCATTTACTATGACGCCGCACCTGTCAGCAGCAGTCATTAGGTGGCCCGTAGCAGCTGGCCGCCGATCCCATATTTACAGGCTTGGACGAAGCGTAAACAAAGATTTAAACTGGATAACTGAAATCCCATGATCTGGTGTAGAGAAATAATCTGTTCAGAGGTGCTTCGGCTTGACCTCAAGCCATAGTGATCTTCCTGTCTTGATGTCAGTTATTACACGGCACCTATTTTACAACGCCATTGCGTGAACTTTCCCCGGGATGCTCAATAGTAATACTCCAATAACTGAAGTACTCCCTAGAGTCTCCTTACTTGAACATGGGTACTACAGCTCTCGTTCTTCAGTTCGCTGTTTTCCCCGAGTCACTGCAGTTTGACAGACACTTGCTTGTCACAATATGCCTTATTGAAAAATTAATTACGTGTAAATGCGCTATACATATGCAATAACTTATTTTATCCGTGAAAATTCTACCATGCTAAATTTGACACTTACTGTGCAACTCTGCACATACACGTAATTTCTGATCTATAACAGTGGCTTTCTTATAAGTTTCCGTCTACACAGGATTTCATGGCATAGATACAAACGATACCCCGATAAATAGGAAGAAATGGGGCATGATAGGAAGATAATACCAGCAAAGCACTGCAAAACAATACATCATGCACCCTTCAGTAGAGGTGGCTCCTGAAGCAGAACGGATCATCAAGAATGGCAAAGTATCATAAAATATTGAACCACAAATATTAAAAAAGTAGACATAAGAATGATCGAGATAAATTCAGAAATCAAAAATTTATTTATTTTTGATTAAAAGAGAAGATCGTGATATTAGATGACAGCACATTATCACGGCAAGAAATAAATACTTAGAGAAGAAACTCCAACCTGTTACAGTGATGCTGTAGCTTACGCACACCGTAATTGAAAATGTACCTGCGCATGAATCAAATTACAATAGGTTGTCCACTAAGCTGCATATATTACGAAACCGTACATATACTGAGATTCGTAAGACTGGTACTTTAAACCTAATTACTATAGCATTGAAGATCCTTTTATTCCACTTGCTTTTTCAGCACTCGCGTCAAAAATGGTTGATCAACGGCCCACTGCTCTTCTAATTTTTGTGACCTTCTCTTAAACAGTTAAAGAAACAACTGCGCAGCAGCGTAGACGTTTGTGGGTGATCTAAAGACGCCTACTGTGCAGAAAAATTCAGTTGATGACTCGGCATATATACCTTTCGACCTTCAAGCGATCAACATCACAATTTTAATTTTTATTCAAGTTGTAAGCGGCACAGACTACCTCCAAAAGTCGTGTCCATCATTGAACTATTCGCACTTCGATATTGTAGTTCCATCGCCCTTTGTGATATTACTATTTTCTTTTCCTCAGGCTTAGTATGCCAGCATTTTGTGCTGTAAGGCTAGGCAAAAATACTTTTGGGCACATTTATGTTTATGCCATATTATCGAGAAATCATAATATGGAATACTCTTATCCGGTTTCTATCAGCAATGAGAACCTGGAGAAAGCCCATGGTTGTTTCTTGCTAACAATTCATTGGCATGTCTGCAAACAAATCGGATCGTTCGCAAATTGCTATATTATAAGCAGCTACTGCGTGAGAGTAAATAGTGTGAAATCGAGAAACATTAGCTTTGGCAATGGCTCCCCAAAAATGCGTTTTGCTTTTCTATCTTTTTGTATTTAAATGAATAGGATAGTGAGTTTTGACAAGAGCGATCAGTGTCTCATTGTAATAGACGTGAAGAGAAGGAAATCATTGCTTGCAGATAACCTTGACTTTGGTATCATCTAAACTGATTTGCATCACTATCTGGCGCGGTTCGCAGCAGAGTGCGACATTGTCGATAGGCGCGTGAGAGTGTCCTCCGAAAAATGCCGAGTGCTTTGTCGTTCCCCTGTTCGCTGAGCTCTTAAGATCAACGGAAAAGCAGTGAAACAGATTAATAAGTCCACCACCGTTTGGATTCTCATTACCTCGTGATACAAAATGGGAGAAAAGGACCTACCCTCGAATTAGAATCCCCTGCGGCATTCTGCATGAACTAGCGCCAACAAATCTGACTTAAACATATCTGATTCAGAATAGGAAATTGTCGGGAATAAATCTTCATCTCAATGCTCACTTATGGTCATGAGTCATGGACCAAGGATGACACTCATCAATCCCAGTAAAAGTTGCTGAAATAGGTCTTTTCAGACGAATCGTTGAATTGTTTCGTCTTGGAAAGTTCATACAGATATTCGAAAGACCTGGGTGTACAGCCGCTGCTTCTCTAAGTTGAAAAGTCACAACTTTAGCTTTGTTGTTGCAAATGCCTTAAAAACGAAGGCGAGTCATCTGCTGCTTGACCAGTCGGCTTACAGAATACCCCATTGACAACAAATACTAATCTTGAGCAAGTGTATTGAAGGACTCTGTGCTGGACTCCGGTTGTCTTCTGCTGAAGCTCAAACGCTGATACAATATCGGGAACGTTTGAGACATCGGTCTGCCTCCGCAGTCCGAAAGGTTAAGCGGTTATATAAGGTGACTGACTGGACGTCCATTCACTGTATCTATTTAAACCATAAGAACGCTTATATAACCTGATCTGAGTTCAGTTTTACTCATTTAATGAGGGAATGGCAAGCAGTAATTAATAATAACAGAATAAAAGCTTAATTTTTCGGAAGTTTGGTTCCATAGCAATATCCAACGATAATGTTCAAATGAACTTATTGCTTTAAGCTATATGTAGAGTGTAGTATTATTTGCTATAAATGGAAACTGACAGTATTCTAATGACGAAAGTACTGTAGAAGAAAACAGGAGAATTGCGAGGATGTGCATCTAATTTGTTTTGGTGTGGTTTGGTTTTGATCATACATGTTGATCGGTTAAATGTTTAACTGACTCCGATTTATTGATTGTCAGCAATGTTGCACAGCTCCTTCTGTATTGTCTTCGATTTTTAGTTGATCAAAATGGTTATTTTGAAGATAGCGAAAAAACGAATTTTGGCTATATGTTCAGTATCTAGAAGTTATTGTATCTTCATTATGCTTCTTTTGTGCTGTTAGGGCATTTTACGTTATATGTTCCCATGTCGTATTATTTTGCCCATTTTCTTTAGTCAGAAGGAAATGATGCCTGCTTTTCTTTGATCTTCGATCCGTGGGGCATCAGAGATGCTGATCGCACGTTTCTGAATGTACTCTTGAGTCTCCCCTCTTGTCGAGCCCGTATATCGAAGAAATCTCATCAACCGTTCTTGTAGGCTCGATGGACGGCGGTCATCTGCGACAGATAGATTTGCCTTAATCGTACGATAACGATATATCACTTTTCCTAGTTGATCGTGCCTTTACCGCATTTGCTTACAGGTGTTCTTGTTGTTATCGTCATCTGTGGTATCAGGTTCAAGGATCGAGTACCCAGATTGATGCTGCCTGACTGGCATTACGGGGATTATAATTGATTTTCACGATTGCATTGTAGTTGAAAAGAAAGTACTCTATAGTATGCGATCACGTAACCTGGTTGTCTGCTACTTTCCTCATTGCAGGCGAGAGACTCGCTTTCTTAAATCCTACCTTTATTTTTCTGTAGCATTGTCAACTTTTTTTTGTCATTGAAAGCAATCGAAACTTTCTGTAGTAAGATAAAGCATCGTATTTTAGAAATGCCTACTAAGGAGGAAGTGAAACTTCTGCATGACTTCGTAAAACTTTGCGAAAATGACCCATCGATATTGCATCGTCCTGAACTGAAATTTTATAAAGAATGGTTGGAAAGGTATGCTTATATTCTCACCTATATACATATGTTTGTTTATACACTGTATGTTATTTTTCCTTTATGCGTAATGCATAATTGTAAGCTCCTTTTGCTCTTCCTTTTGTGTCAGTTTCGATTTCGTATCCATGTTTTTTCTACCTTGCTTCTTGTTTTCGACTGCATTTTACAGTTGGTGTCCAAAGTTGCTTAGGTTATACTCTTCTTTTGTTTAAGCTTATCCACGGATTGCTACCAAAATTAAGGCCAACAGTAAAAGATTTCGTTTCTCATCAGAATATTGTCGAAATTAGAACTAAATTGGCTTTAT